TCTCTCTCTCTCTCTCTCTCTCTCTCTCTCTCTCTCTCTCTCTCTCTCACTCTCTATCTCCCTCTTTTTGTGACTAAATCTCTTCAAAGTATGCAAGTATTTAAGAAAACATGAATTTAAAAACCCATTCATATAAAAGCTAACAAGCCAAAAATGTGTCTCAAACGACTTTTGCTTCTTCTTTTTCTTCTGCATAATTCAGAGTCTGTCGCAGTTAGGCTAATGCCAATTATATGAAGAATTTGAGCAGTCGCCCTTGGCGTACCACAGCCACTGGATAATAAATGAAACCTCAAAGTGAGGCTTGAGAGCTGTGTTTGATATAGGCAAATAAATTATAAACATTGAAAACATTTTTTCATATTATTTAGCCAGACTTGTCTGCTACGCAGTACATAAATAATATGTATCTATATATATGTATATGCATCAGATTATATATACTGATTTGCGATGGTTGACTAACTGCCTGTGAGAGCCTGCTGGCTATGAGCCACAATAACAACAACAATAACAGCAACAGGATGCGAACAACAATCAGAAAAAAGAAAATCACTTGACTTTTCCTAGTTGTCCTTGTCGCTTGCAGAACAACAGAAGAGAGCGGCAGCAAGAGAGAGAGAGAGAGAGGGAGAGACAATGAGAGTGGGTGAGTGGTGCTTGTTTAGGTCTGGAGGATGGGTAGGGTGGGGGTTGCAGTTCTGTTTGCTGGGGCCGTGGGTTTTTGATGGTGTCAAAAACTTGAGCGCCTGTTGACACACACGCGAAGCACTCGAGCTCTACGCCGGGCGTAATGGCAGCGCCAGACTTTACGGAGAGCGGCGGTGGAGCCGCGGGGTAGCGGTGGTTGTGGGAGAAGGCAGTGGTTCGCTGCTTGTAACCGCCAAAAACATTTTGCTAACGATTTATGTCCGTTGCATGTTCCTCGACCGAGAGAAACTGTTAGATAAATTTTAGCTACTTTTTCAGTTGCAGCGCCCACACATCCTTGGCGCCGCCTCCTGCTGCCCGCGCTCTGCCGCCTGCATCCTGCAGCGTGCTGCCCTCCGCCCGATGCCTGCTGCGTGCATCTCTGTACTTAATGGCGCATCCTATTCTTCGGGTCACATGTCAGCCAGACGCCTGCAATGGCTGCAAGCAATTAGTTTAGAATTCTTCAACGCTCAGCTGCGGCTCACTGCGAGCTTAAGAAGGTTAAAGAGGTCTAACGTAGGATTACGAAGTGACTGCAAAATTTATTCGAATTTACCAAACATTAATTAGAGCTTAGCCTTCGTCTCAATAGTTCTCAGAATAGCTAAAAAGGTTTACAGCTGACATTATTGAAGCAATTGGAAGACATTATTGAATTTCCCTTAGTTGTTCTTTATTAGACTTTACTTATTCTCTAAGTAATTCCTAAATTAGTTATGACAAATATTTAAGAATTTTAGGAAAGTTAATAAGGTCTTCAGTGTGATATAAAAATTAGTGCAAAATATTTATAAATTTTCTTTAGTTTTCCTTTGTATTAAATAGATTCTGGCTCTCGTCTCAACAATTCCAAAAATATGTAGTTTTAGATGATATTAAAGCCCCTGCAATATATTTGATGAATATGACTTTCCTTTAGTCTTTCTTATTAATCATTAGACTTTTGCTATGTTCCCAATAATTCCCAAAATAGTTAAAGAGATCTTAATTTTGATATTGAAGCAACTGGAAGACATTGATGAATTTCTCTTAGTTCTTTATTAGACTTTAGTTATCCTCTAAGTAATTCCAAAATTAGCTTTTAAAAAATTCAGAGGTTTTCAGTGGCGAGAGAAACCAGTGCAAAATATTTATGGATTTCCTTTAGTTTTTTTAATATTAAATAGATTCTAGCTCTTGTCTCCATAATTCCAGAAATAGTTTAATAGGTTATTAAAGCCCCTGCAATATATTTGATGAAGTTAGTTTTTCTTCTTAATATTAATTAGACTCTAGCTATCTTCTCAATAACTCCCGAAAGAGTTTTTGACAAGCTGACAATGCTTGTGTTCTTCTTCACTCTGTCAGGCATCAAAGAAATTTTTGTTGAATTCGCTCGGCTAACTGGATAACGGGACAGCTGTTGGCCATGTGGTAACAGGCGAGCTGCAGTAAAACTTTTAATTAAACCAACTTTAAGCTTTTAGTGCTGCTGGTCAGGGCTGTCAACGGACACACACACACACGGACACACACACACACACGGACACATGGGCACAGCAGGCGGGAGCCATGTTTAACACCGAAGTGAGCCGGACCGAGCAGGAGTCGTGGTAGCAAGCCGACATTAAATCTGTTCTCTAACAATAAAATTTTCTACCATTAACACTTTGGCCAATGCTTAAAGCAGATGGGATGAAAAAAAAAAGAAGAAAACAGTTGCTAGCTGCCAGGCTGGCAGGAGGCGTGAACGAGAGAAGGGGAGCTGCTACAACCGCTGTCAGTTGTCTAGCGAAGCGACAAAAAATGATGTGCATATACATGTCTGTATACGTATGTGAGGAGCTGGCCAGCTGGCCAGTTGGGCAGTACACGGAAAAGCTGGCCAACTAGTCGGCTCGGCCCTTTTGTATTCACAGTTACACCTACAAAAGCGACAGCTGTGCATCATGGTCCATGACTGCCTCCGCTTCTGCTTGGTGTCAGGTTTTAGTAGGCTTTGTGGACGGGAGGACGAGCCTCGGCTCACTGGACACAGGAGTCAGCCGCCTCCACCTTTTGTGGCATTTCACATTTGGGGCAGCAACTGCTGCCGCTTGCGGTTCTCAACTGTCTGCCCGCTGTCAGACCCGCAGCAGCACGGCCCCAAGACCCTCAATATTGTTTGCTCGCCCATGTTGCGGCTTTCTATTTGAGTTCGGTATTAGTTCTTCATGACGTGACAGTCGTTAGCTTATTATGAGCTGCGAAATCGCAGCCATTGTTAATATGTTGCATGCGATAAAATTTCTACTTTGCAGCGGGATTTTAAACAGCTCTGTTAAAGCGGGTTTGTGTCTACGCTAAGTGGAACAGAGTCTGTTGTTGCTTACAGAGTGCTGCTGTGTTGTCTAACAGAGCTCTGTTAAGTGCATAGCATGGCAATGTTAAGTTCAAATACAAAATGCGAAGTAAATCAAAATGAACTTGTAAAATAAAAGTTTTATAAATAATATTAAATTATACATTTTTTTGTTGTTATTTTTCATATTTTGTTTCTATTATATTTTTATACATTTTTGGTATTTATATATATTTATTATTATTAATAATTGGGTTCTTAAATTTTTATTTATTTTCTAAATACTATTTTATCTTGTTAATATATACGGCTTTTATTAAAATATCTATTATTAAATTAATTAAATGTAATGGTAAAATATTTTAAATTTTTACGATTTTTTATTCAAGTCAATGTTATCTTATCTTTTCATTTGTGATTAAGCTCCTCAGAGCTAACGTTAGATTCCATTGTACTCAATTAATTTGGCGAGCACAGGCAATAAATACGCTTAGTTAAACAATTCGCAGCAAACAAAAATTAATTGCGCCGCCTCACGCATCATTTTCTCACCGCCCTTATTCACTTTTCGCACCCAGGCACGCGAAACAGAAATTCGAGGCAAGAAGAAGACCATTTGACACGCTGCTCTTATTTATGACAAGGCAAAAAAAAAAAAAAAAATAAATAAATAAAATAAAAGGACAAATTCCGTCTCTACTAAATAAACAAAGCAAAAGATTCATAAATTACAACGCCAAAGCCGGTCAAGCCTGAGAGTGTGTGAGTGTGTGTGAGAGAGAGAGGGAGGGAGAGTGTAGAGTGATAGGCGGAGGGGGAGGGGAGGGCAGAGTGTTGGCCACGCGTGTGGCAGCTGCGTGCTTGGCTCAGCTGTTATGTTTGGCATTTTGCGGTTTTGCTTTTTGGCTAAGCATTTTTTAAGTTTTCGGGCGCGCCCTTTTATTTTTGGCTGCAAAACAAAAAATTTGAGAAAAAAAACAAAAAAAAAATACTCACCGCCCGCATGCGGAGGTAAACAAATGTGTTTGAGCACGCTTAACAGCGACGGCAAACGCGGCTTTATAGCAGCCTTTCAGGCGGCGCTGTTAACGCTCTCTCACGCTCTCGCTTTTACTCTCTCTCTATTGATTTGTTGTGCATAGCCGGCGCATGCGCCAGCTCAGCTCAGCCAGACACCGGCCACACAGGCATACAGGGTGCTTAGCCAAACAAAACAAACGCCAGCGCAACCCCTAAAGCAACTGCCACCATAAACAAACCCCAAGTTGGGAATGCGGCAGGCATGTGCCTGCGTATGTATGAGAGAGAGGGAGAGGGAGAGTAGGAGTGAGAGTGGGCGAGTGAGAGCGGACTGCAGCTTTGCAGCTTTTATAGCATCTGGTAACATTTCGCTCACTGTTGTTCTCTGTTGGCTTTGCAGGGGTGGTATGTGGATAAATTTTAGCCGCCATGGATCCCAGTGCTCTACAAAACATGGATCGGGACGCATTAAAGAAGCAAATCGAGAATATGAAATATCAGGCCTCCATGGAGCGCTGGCCGTTATCTAAAAGCATTGCTGAGTGAGTAGCCTCAATTCAATAATATTTAATAATAACACACAATTAGCTGTTGACAAAAGTGTTTACCCTCAAAACAAACAAGTGCTAAAGTTAACTAAATAAAAAAATAAAATACAAAAGAGGAAAAAAAATACGAATTTCTTTCACACTGTCTGCCACAAATTTTACGCGTGTGCTAAATATGTGAGAGTGTATGTCGATGCTTGTGTGTGCGTGTGTGTGTGTCTGTCTGTGTCTGTGTCTCTTGTGAGTTTAACAAAAATCGAGCTCAAGCTTGTCTAGACGCGCGTCCCAGGCAGCAGTTAGTTGCCATTGCTGCTATTCCTGCTCCTGCTGCTGCTGCCGCTGCTACTTCCTCCCAGTTGACACAGTGCTAGCGTTAAATATTCATACACGTGCCTTGCCCGCAGACTCGAGACGGTGGGGCAACACCTGAGCTGAGTGCTCGTCCGGCAGCTGTGTTGTTTGTTGTTGCTAAATATTTACATAAATATAAAGTTGTTGTTGTTGTTGCTGCTGTTGTCGCTGTGGCTGTGGCTGCTGCTGTGCTCCATGCACCACAAGCTACAGTTACTTTCCTCTGCAGCTACTTATACATATATATATGCATAGGTTTGAGTGTGTGTGCGTGCAGACAGCGACTAGACGAAATTCCAAAATTATGAACATTTTTGCAGAGCGCAAATTTTCATAACTCACTGTCAAAACGGAATTGAACTGCTTCAACACGTTGGCTAAATTGGCTTGGAAGCAATTGATAAACTCCGTTTTAGGAAGATATATGTAGGTATATTTCGGTATATCAGCTGCAGATACGTGATAAATATATACATATATGTCTCTCTATATATGTAAATTCTCTATAAAAAAAAATAGCTGAATAAGGAACGTTTGCTAATGGGATTTGTTTCATAGAGCATAACGAGGATATTTACATACATATATATTTCTTGATTTATTGAATAACATAATATATTTTTTTTGATTTTGTATTCATTCATTATATATTTATTTATTATTATTTTTATTTACTTGTTTATATACTTATTGCAATATTTATTTATTTTTAAATGTCATATTTCATTTAATTTTATTTACTCAAAATGAGAATATTTTTATATATATATTTCTTGATTTATTTAAGTGTATATTTATCATAATTTATTTATTTCATTTTGTATTAATCCATTAATTTATTTATTTATTTATTATTATTTTTATTGCTTGCTTACATATTTATTGCAATGTTGATTTACTTTTTAACTTCATTTTTCATTTATTTTTATTTATTTATTACTTGTTAATTTATACTTTAAAAAGGTTTTTAAATTCTTACTGCTTTATTTATATTTATTATATTTTCTTTAATACTTATTCGTTATTAACTAATTTATTATTTATTATTCTTTAATTATTTTCTTTTTTTTTTTTTTTGTTGTATATTTATTGTTTTACCTAATCATTTATTTATTTTCATTTGCTATGGATTCACTTTAAAAAACTATAAATTCTTCCATTCATGAATCAATATTGAATGGTATATATAGCTTTACACAATCATTTTTAAAACTTCAAGTGCATCGATTCTATTTCATTAGCAATGTTACATAATGAGCCTTTCTAAAATGTTCACTAGCAGTTCAGTATTGGTGTTCAATTCCAATTCTCAGCTCTGCTCTATTCCATTACCATTTACAGGGTATCTGATGATATGCTGCAGACTCGAGGCGTTGAGCCATCAAGCTTTTTTGTGCAGCTTTAAGCCAATACAAACAAATTTAAGGCACAATATGTTCACATTATTGTTCACCTTTAGTTTTCACACTTTGGTCGAAACGCGAGCAAGCAATTTTAGTCGTCGTGCTGTCAGACTCTATATACATATCATAGTATTGAAATATGAAATCGTTCAGCTTTAGTGCTCAAACGATAATTAATTGTAATTCGAGCCGCGAGCATCGGCTTAGCACGATCTTGCGAACTCGCCAAGAGAGCGAGAGAAACACGTGAGGAATATAGAGAGAAACTAGAACGAATCGCAGACTCTTTACAAATATAAATCTCAGGCAAAGTTAAAATGATTGCCCCCCGGAATATATATAATTGATGTTTTTTTAAATTATCTGAACTCAAATTTAACTCAATGATTTAACATTTTTAAAGAGCTCTGGGCAAAACAAGAGAAAGTCAAATTGTGCTAACTGCCCAATAATCTGCATACTCGTAAACAGAGATAAAAGACTTATTGATTTCAATACATTGCTCAATTCGCAAGAGTCTAAAACCAAAAACTGTTTTTGTTTTTAAATCTTACGACTCGAGACTTTCTTGGTTTTTATTATTCAAGTCCACAAGTCTAAGGTGAATATCCTACTTATATATGGTTTCAGTAAACCCCAACTCTGACTCGCTCTTCACAAATTAGCACGCTAACAGATGGCAGCAGTAAAAGTTACGGCTGAGAGTTTCCGTTTCAGTTCAACGTTCCTCCTCTGCCCTCTAAATATATCCTAATACAATCGAGATTCTTTTAGTTTTGTTTTTGCTAATTTGAAAAAATTTGTGAAATGGCATTTTCATGGGGCGCAACAGCTAAACGCCGCACATAAATCACAACAAATGCGACAGTCTCTCCCTCTTGCCCTCTCCCTCTCTCCCTCTCTCCCTCTCTCTTTCGCCAACTTTTAAATATGGCTGAGCCGCAATCTAAACAGCATTTGGTTTGCTGGCCAACAACTGTTGTTGGCCAATTGTGACTGCGATTGCCGTCAGAGTCCCGTTTCAAATGAAACTCACGCTGTCAAGGCATTTGGCTAAGCATTTAGTCCGCTTTCGGCTAATTATGAATAATTAATTGCTCGCATTTCGGCAATCCAATACTGTGCGGCCCTTGCGGCTCTCGCATAACTAAAGTGAGCTGCCGCCTTGCGTCGCTTGGCGTTAATTATTTGAAAACATTTCATGTAACACCTTCGTTTTGGTCTCAGCTGCTCTTCCATTCGCCTAGTGCAAACGCGGCTTACCAATTAGCGAGAATCCCAGCTGAGTGCCGCCGCCTCTCTCTGCTCTCTCGCTGCCTCACATAGAGTTTCAGTCTTAGTGCCAGCTGCTGCTGCTGCTGCTGCTGCTGTTGCAGGTGTTAATTGCTAAAAGCAAATCTATTTATCATAATTACGTTGATAAACACGAGCTCGACTTTGTGCGCTCACCTTTATGTCACTGTCACGAACTTGGAATCCATTTAAAAGCACAGATTTAGTTACCGATTATGTTCCCTTCTCTCTCTCTCTCTCTTCTGTCACTCTCTCAATTCAGTTTAATTTTAATTTGTTACGTTTATATCAAGCATTAAAAGGCTTTTCTTGATTGGCTGTGCTGGAATTCCTAATTTGGGTCCGCCATAAATTTAAAATAGATTTTGTAAATGAAAATTTAGATAGCATTTAATCTGTGTCTTTCACATTTTCTCTTCCCCTATTAACAACAATTTTCGTTGTGCCAAAATTGAGTAAAAATCTCAAATGCCTTTAGTGTTAGTATTAATCATTGTTCTCGTTCTCGTTCTCATTCTTAATGTTAAGCTGTACATATATGTTCTGTATATTACATGTTGGCGAGGCAAGACCACATCGTGTTCTCGCTTTAAAATTTAATAGAGTGGAAGTATTTTTCTTTTATTTATTTATTAGGATGCAGCGCATTTATATTATATTATAATTATATTATATTATATTATATTATACTATATTATATTATATTATATTATATTATATTATATTATAATATATTATATTATAT